CACGACACTCCTATTAACTCAAACTAAGTGATATCACCTGGATGCTAACAAGAACTTGCATCAGCGAGCAGTAAGAGCTCCACTTTTCTTCAGGGCGTCCCTCCCACGTTCCCAAAATTGATAAGCAAATCTTCCCGTCGTTGTAGAGATTAGGATTAAATCGCACATTTCCAGCTCCCGTCGTCAAGAAGGCGCATTTAGGAGGAGAATACGGGTAACTGCAAACAAAAATTGTTCAAATTTTCGCTACTATTGTGGGAAAAAATTTTTTTGAACTCAATATGCGATGAGAAAAATTATCGTCTCTTGCTTCTAAGCGTGCGTAACTATTAGCACAAGGGAGTTACACGTCAACTAATGACTAGCTTAAAGTTTATGAGCTATGGGTCAGAGCACCGCTTTAACTTTCGATGTAAAATAGTGCACAATTAATGCAAAACAAAAACTTCTAAGAATTCGCACTTACCTTGTTGGGAAAAACACATCGAATTCGAAAAGTCCATTGGCATAAGGAGTATCATCGGGCCCGGAAATTAGGACCTGGTAAAACAATAAGTAATGCTGCAAAAAAGAAATGTTAACAATTATACTCTCTGCTGTTACCTTAATTATATCACATCTTCCCTCGTCGACGCACACAAAAATACTGTTGCTTGCATTAAGTGGCAATGCGTTAGGCATCGAAGCAAGTTCCTTCGCAATGCGTTTCGTTCTTTCACGTAAAGACGGTGAGAAGGGGTTGGTGTTGCGAATGTCTTTCTTGAATGTGTAAGGTGTGACAAGCTTCCCATAATCACCTATAAACCTGAAAACAAATTCTTTAATTTGTTTTTGCAAAGCAAAGGCAAATTCTGAAAACAAATGTTGCTACTTGGTGTCTCATAGCTTATGGAATTTAGAAGTACGTCTTGCTAGTACACACTGGCGAGAAAAAGGTAGTGAATACAACGTATTTTGTAAATATCCTGGAGCTTCAGATAAAATTTAAGAGTGTCATTGTTTCAATTTTTCTGGTCGGGTCCTTTTTTAAACTTAGTGGGATAAGAGAAGGTTTAACACTGTTCTTAGAAATACCAAATATTGCTCATTTTTTCGCCTATTAAGGTGCCTCGGACATAAACATTGCTGTCACCAATCTTTCCTCCTCGAAGAAATCTATGCATGGTAAGTTTTCAACATAAAGACCCTAAATCATATCAAATTTTCGGCAATCAAATCAATTTAGAGTTGTGCGAAGATTTGTTCCAATTGATCCTTCCTCGATATGCATGTGGAACGGTGTGAAATGTAGAGCAATTCCTTGCTCACTGATTAACTACAAACACCCTTGCCAAAGCGAGGAGGGAGAGGGGAAAGTTTTAGCATACCTTGTCAATGTGAAATGAAC